CAATGACTGGGTTCTCAAGCACGTGTTCACGTCTCACTAACTCCAACATAAGTAACACCGTACAACTCAACAACTTATAGTATTACTATTGCAACAGAGATAAAGTATCTTTAACAACATGAAAGGCAGACTCTTGACTGGAGCAATCTCCCAAAACAGTTAGCAACCTGAAATAATCTAAATGTTAAAACGGTTTCCTCTTACTTTTCAACATAAATAACTGTGAATCAACCTTAACCTTACAGTCCCTACCTGAGAGGAAACACAATTTCACTCACACTTCCAAATTCGGATCCAGTGTTCCCGAGGCATTTCCTTCTCCGGTTAAATTATGTCCAGGATCCTGCATACAGAGTTGTTAACAGTGACAACCATACGGTGCTCAAAATTTGAAAAGTTGGGACTAGCAAGGCACATACCTCCATTCCCCATCTGATATAATCTGGTGATTCACAAGCTTTGTACTCATCAACCAAACTTTCAATTATATCCCTTGCTTCATCAAACTCTGAAAGATCATTGTCCTGGTCACGTTGGCAAATAGATTAGGATAAAATGTTATTATAATGCAATTGCTTTTGCATCCGAATGGGAAATATTATTTGATTTTGGAAGCAAAATAACATGTAGCACAACAAACAGACAGCACTAGATATTTTATTCATGGAATTCAGATCTTTTAACCAATCTATACAATTAACACAAGTCTCTAGGCGCATGTAAATAGACAGGTTAGCAACTTACATGTATATGCATAAAACACATGCATAAAATATTTCATAGGTTGATAACAAGACAAACAAAAGGGGCAGAAGTCATAAATAAGAAGCTCGAACAGAAATAAAACCATGGAAGCCAGAAATAAGGTGGTAACTCACTGCAAACATTGGGAACTTCCGATAATTGTCGAGAAATGCTTGCTTCTTTCTCAACTTCTCATACTGGCTCAAACATTTACTGAAGAGGTGTCGGATACTGGTGTGACTTGCTAGCATAAGACCACTCACCTGAACCATTATCATTAAATTCAGACCAAATATTGCAAATTATTGTATAATACAACAAAATAAGCAATCAGATCTCAAAAGACAAGAACTAGAGTTGTACCCTATGGGCAGTCTGGACATATGGGGACTTTCTAGAAAGAGCAACCTACAAAAGCACCAAAAGATCAAACATATGATATTAGTCCAGATATCATAAGAAAGTAGAATTAACCAAAGCGAGTGGAACTGCTTCAACTATCAAGATACCTGAATACTTGCAGGGCCCCACTCAATAAAATTTACAAGCTTTCTTTCACGAATCCTCTGTAGACTTTCATGCACCTGATAAAAGACGAGAAATTATTTTAGCAGCTTAAACCAGTAAGATGATACTAAACTATAATAAAACATGTCAAATGCCCAATATAACTTTGAAAGGTAAAGCTGCCGAACCATAATAAAAATTTTAGGGCAGTCAACGGAAGAGCAAGATGTTTCATAATCTCTCGGTAAAGAAAAAATACATGCATTCACAAGCAAACCTTAGAACTACTACCAACTTTTTATAACAAGTTCCACTTCTTTAACCAAAGATATACTAAAACTGCTAAGGAATGCAAATGTTATTATAATGGCCAAAGTCAATGGAAAAGTAATTTTCTTATACCAAATTTAACTGTGAGAGTTAATATATATATATTTCCTGCAAACTATATAAGCATAATCTACAATACCTGTGTAGGATCTACTTCTCCCTGAATAATATTCAGTATAGAAATATACTTTGCTTGACTAGCTTCTTTTGTACGTGCATAAGAGGAAACCATGATATTTTTTTACTGCAAAAAATCTTATGGTCAGAAAAATGCAATCTGTTTTGCAAAGAAAAGACAACTTACACATCTTACCTGGAGAAGTCTTCTCATAACATCAAGGACAGTAGTCTTGCGTATCACATTAGCCTGCCAAGAAGAGAAACAGTGGCATCATATCGCACCAAAATTTCTTACAGAATATGACTAGACTAAAAACATTACTATACAGTGATGTTAAACTCTGAAAAAGCAATATGACAAAAATAAAAGTTATAGTCAAATCTTGCTGAACTTCTTGCTTTGAAGTATGGTTTAGACATGTATTCGCTTCGATCAAGGATTATTCGCTGCCATTAATTGTGGAGTGTGATAGCAAATTAGTGGTGGATTGGGTATTGAACGTAGGTAAATGTCCAGCTTGCTTCGAAGGTGTTGTGGGAGATATATCAAAGATGATTGTGTATAACAAGGTGATACTCCGACATATTTCTCGGGTCTGCAACATTGAGGCCGACTCCCTAGCTAAACAAGGAATCGGATAAATGGGAGCTATTTGTTGTTTTGGTTAGCAGTGTTGAGGACTTTGTGTAGTGATGGATTACTTGTTTTGTACTTATCGTTTCTCCTGTACTTCGGAACCTCTTTTCAAATTTTATTAATAAAGTTGAGGCACTCTTTTCCTCCCTTCACTATCAGGATTTTCCTGGTATGAAGGGTTTTTTTAATGAGGTCTACTCTCTTATAAAAAAATAAGTTACAGTCGAATCATCAGTTTTACAAACTAGATAATATGAGAAATGAACGCACCTGGCGCTCCACTGTAAGTGGTGTGTAACCAGTCATAAGAAAATGACATCTTGGTGTTGGAATTAAAGAGGCAAGAAGACCAACCAAATCATTGTTCATGTACCCTGGGTACCGCAATGTAGTTGTGCTTGCAGACATCACAGTGGAGACCAAAGAATTTGTTTGAGTAAATGTAGGATTAGATAGATGTAAACGCTCCACAGCAATTCTATTCAAGAACAACAACACAATCAGCATTTATAGTTAGTCGCTTGAGAGTCAAAAGTGAGTTGTAGGGCTGGACCACCACATCACTCGTCTCCATCTGATTAGGAAATACACTATATGTCTGGACCAGCTTCTTGCTGTAGCGATCATTCAGAGCCTCCAACAGATAGGAGCCCATACCTTCATTGTAGAATGAAAACAATCAAGTTGTAACCAAACCAAAGTCTTCAAGAAATTTTCACTAGCTTATGATGAATATACTACTGCCTATGGTCCTAATTTTAGCAGCCAAATCAAGCAAACATATAAACAAAAAAAGAGAGAAAAAAAAGGAAGCTTTAAACCATCAATTAAAAATCCTAGATAGGCCAAAAGAGATAAATGAAAAAGAAAAAGAAAAAGATGAAGATAACAAGAGGAAACCTGAGCCTGTCCCTCCGGCAATCGAATGGCATAAAACAAAACCCTCAAGACTATCACTTCCATCAGCTTCTCTGTCAATCATGTCCATTATATCCTCTTCAACACCCTTTCCCTGTATCAAAATCAAGAAATAAGGAACTGGATTTAGATAAAAGATTATTGATTGAAAAGAAAACAATCATATAACACATATGTCATGTCACATCTTTACATAGGAATTTGCAATATACTTATCTATATACCAAGAAAAACATGAAGACAGAATGAAAAAGAAAATGCTGCTGATCTCAATATTTCATGTAACCATTTATCTATTCTGCTGTAAATAATAATTACTGTTAGTAGGAAAAAATCCACCACAATTTTCCTAACATGTTAAAATAATGTGCAGAACCCCTGCCTACAAATTCTCTGACCGTTGCTTAAACACACACTATAATGATGACTCAATAGAGATGGGAAACAAAGGTTAAAAAAATACTTGAATATAAGCACCAAAAGTGTAAAGGTCCAAGCATCAATAAACTTTATATATTAATTGAACATTACTAAAGTAGAAGAAAATCGAAAGCAAAAGAAAATACAAGTGAAACTACCTGATGATATCCACTGGCCCAGTTGTTTCCAGCACCTCCACCATGATCAGCAACAAAGATGTTCTCGTGATTGTAGAGATTTCGATATTCGCCATTTTGAATTCCATTAATCACTCTAGGTTCCAAATCTATGAGTAAAGCCCGTGGTATATAATGCTGATCATCAGCTTGGTAGAAAAAGACACCCTTCCTATCACCTCCCTGCATCAACCGTGCTGAGCAAATTAAAACACTTGAGAATTGAGATATTGATGTTTAACTCGCTCGAACTGAGAGACTCACTGCATATTCCTTTACGTCTCACATAAAATTATCTCGATATCAATAAATTATGGGGCAATCTACGCCTAATGAAACTTCAAGAACTCATCCGACAGCTCAATTAACAAGTATTGTGTTTCAAATGCATCACAGCCATTGTATCCTTAATAAATCTACCAAAAAAAAAATCAAAATGAGCTTTCATACTTACCCGGTAAGTGAAGCTCTAAACAAGAAATGCTAATAACAATTACAGTTATAAGAGAAAACTCAAAAAGAAGAAGAGAACCTGAGTAGCGAAATCTTCAAGAATGCCTTCTTTGCTGATGCCATGTTCGAGGCAGAGCTGTTTCCAGAACTCCATTCCGATCTGGTTCCCGCATTGTCCCACCTGTAGTGTGATTATTTCTCTCGGCATTTTTTCCTCCGCTCCTTTCTACTGAAACTAGGGTTTGGATCGAAAGCGGAAATATGTGTTTGGCGCCAGAAGCTTAAAATAAAAGGGAAAATATGAGGGATTTCTTCTTTTTTTAAAAAGAAAGAAAGAAAGAAAGTGTTTGGCTGCCAGCAGTGCAATTCTTTCTGGCTGTTATATAATAGGTATACTAGTGACTATAAATGCTGAGCCTACTAACCGCTTGATTTCTATGTATTTATTGTTGTATCTCTTAATAATTTTATCTTCATAATTAGAACAAATACCCATATTATTAAAATAAACATATTTAATATTATTTGAATTGGTATCGTATTATTACAATAATTCAAAAAGTATCTATTAAGTTTAATTCAATTAGTATTGTCATCAGTGCAACATATAAGAACTCGTAAGACCGAATATGGTTAAATGCTGAATTTCAATACAACAAATCAAACAAAATTCATTTAATACATATCTTCTTGAATCGATTCATTGTGGCGACCACTGTTTAATGCATATGTTAACATCCAAAACAACCGAGTAGACTTGTAAACGAAACAAAAGTTATATACATAAAAACACGAACCACTAATGGTACTTTGATTTCCACCATAGTTAGCGGTAGATGAAATACCAAAACAATATAAGCCAGAGATTCCTGTTGCGTTTTGGAATGACGATGCCAGTTTTCTCGGCTTGCTATCCCCGTGTTTAATAACTGAATCTGCGATTCAGTTCATGGCCATTTCGTTTTCAATCTCTCTCGTCGTAGAAGGAAAGGCTATCCCATAAGATCGAATATGGCCATTTTGACAAGGCTCTCTGGATCTGATTTTAATTGTCGACGGCATGTCTACAAGCATATTCGGAGCAAAGTACATATGTAGTGACATCATACAAATAATGATCCCCAAGAAAAGCTGCAAGAATGCTATGAACAAAAATAAATGATCCAAGGTTAGAAAATTGCAAAGCAAAACTGGGCTGCACCGCTGCTGGGGGAGCCGTATGTTTTTGGATGTTTCAGGAACTATATAGAATGATTAAAACACAGAGGATAATAAATGGATTTTTGCAACAAGTTTATAAAATATATTCTGAATTACATGTGTGTTTGCATGTATGATAACATTTTTCATTAACCATGATGGTAAACATCCAGATTCGGAACACTATCACACTTGGACCAATGTTTGTATGTGCACTTCACACAGAGAGAACATTTAAATATTTTTTCATTAACCATGAAAATCAAAGCCCAACAGAAAATAAATTTAAGTCCTACATCCAGGCTGGAACACTATATTAAAATAACACAGATATAAAATTAAAGGCTGGATATCTTGTTCAGAGTTCAGATTACAGCTAGGAAGCCTACCTGAAGTGTTAGATTGAGACTGAAGAGGAGCACGGATAGAATCATTGTTAATAGCATGGCCATCGATGTGGAATACACCTAAAAGAATAAGTGAAAACAAATAGTTGTTAAAAAAATTAGGATGGGGGTAGAATTTAACATCCAAAATTTCAATAATCATAAGCAGTTAAGAAATTTTAGAAACATAAAACATATCAAGGATAAATCAACAAGTTCAAACATAAAAACACAAGATCTATGATGAAATGGCAATTACCTAATGCACACTTAAATTTAAGCAGAATCAAGGATAGCGAGAAAGTGGGTACCTGACTATATTGTCAGCATATTTCATTAACCATGAAACCAGCAGCCCGGTAGAACTTAGATTTAGCACAACCATCCAAGTTGTGATTCTGTACCCATTAAACAGCCGTTGCCACCAAGGTCCTTTCTCAAATCCACCCCTAAAATCATCCATTACCAGCTGTGCCATATTGAAGATTGTACCAAACCTGGAAGAGGGAGTCAAATCAGAATAAATCAACCAATGATCATATCAATCACTTTAAATGGCTTGAACTTTGTATTATATAGATTCTGACCATATAATAACAAAAACAAGATAGGTAAAAAAATGAGTTTTTATACTTGTAAAAGTATTTTCTGCAACTAACATGGGAAAACATTTTGAAAAAAATTAAAAGGGAACCTACATGTATAACTGTATATTCTGCCAGCATAAACTGTCATTGTTCTTCTTCATCAGGAACTCTGTATAAACACCAGCCAATGCTGAAAGACAAGCAGACAAAATTCCTAGCATGTATCCTTGAATTGGTGCTGAGAAGAGGGAGTCGCATGAAGCCTCTCCGCATCCTTTTTACCTTGATAAGAAGAAGATGAATTTGAACTATATACTTCACTAAATTGTTAACAGAAAAGAGTTTGTAACAAGAGAAAACTTTAAAAATTTCTCAGAGATAGACTTCTTCAAGAGCATATGTGATTGGTCCTAATGAGATATAACAGCTTCCTACAAAGAAATATTGCATTCCTAACTAGTTGTTGCTCCTCACCTTTCCTTCCAACCCTCCCTCCGTTTTCTTCCTTTCCTATAACGTTCAGAATGCAACAAAATTTACAAAGACTTCTTCAAGAGCATATGTGATTGGTCCTAATGAGATATAACAGCTTCCTACAAAGAAATATTGCACTCCTAACTACCTTTCCTTCTAACCCTCCCTCCGTTTTTTTCCTTTCCTATAACTTTCAGAATGCAACAAAATTTACAAAGACTTTATTCACTTTACTAGTTGTAAAGAAGATTATCATATTAACTATTTCATCCAACTTATTTAATATGTAATTTCTCCATATTTATTCCAAATCTAGCAAACCATTGACTGATTCCTATCATGGCGTGCAATTTTTGACAGATAATTTTCTAACAGCCAAGAAATATTGATATGGCATCAAAGTGTAACTACCACTAGTATTCTGGTACAATAACTGGTTCTGGCATCTTAACTAGCCATAAACTTTTCTTGCATAAAAAATCAATGTAGCACAAATCACAGTACAAAAACATAAATGGTTTGGTTCGGAATGGGGAGTACCTGACTCGTGGTCGTTCCAACAGCCAATAAAACGATAGCCATCCACTGTAGATTAGAGAGCTTCTTCTTAAGAAACAACCTAAATCAATAAACAACAGCATCTTCCAATTCATGAGAATAACATTGACACCAAATCCAGCTATGCACATAAAAAAAGAGGTCAAAATTCAGAAAGAAATTTAGAGTAGCACACCTAAACAAAATTCCAGTTGTGACAATTTTCAAATTACCCATTATCTGATACGTCGACGCATCGACATATATAAGAGTAGAAATTTTGACATTAATATGGATTAAGTAAATGATGGAAGGAATGGGGAACAATCGAACAGTCCTCCAATCCGTTGTTACTTTCGGCGGAGGCGATTTCTTACTGTCTCTCCATAGAAAAACACTTGATACCATAAGCTGTAACAAAAAAGAAATTTATATAAAAAAAACATTTCAATTTTAGATCTAAATTAAGGAAGTTTAGTGGAGATTTCACGAAAAAATACCTTAAAAACCTCGGCAAGGAAAGGGATGGTGGTGTAATCGTATTTATATTTGCCATTGGTTTGCGATAGATTTGTTAAGATCCCCTGCAAAATCATAAGAATGAATATAGATCTAATCATAATTTCAGGGCTTGAGGTAAATAATAAAAAAAGACCTGAGAACTGGTGAGGACGGTGAGAAGAGAAGCTACTAAGCACCGCTTCATTTCCACTTCTTCCAAACCGCAAGGGTGTACGCAGCAGAACCACTGTCAGCTCAGAAATTAAAAAACGTCGTCGCATTTTCCCAATATTGTTTTAATATATGTTACGTAAGAAACGAATCGTTTTTCATCCCCAAGCCGATCAAAGCTCAGAAATTTTGCTTTTCATTTGGCATAACAATTCAGTTATGACTTGTTGTGGTTAATTTTTAATTGCAATGGTCTAATTATGCCCCTAGTCCTTGCTTTCAGTAATTTAATCTGATCTCTCTATAATTTGACTATGAGCTATCAATTGAATTTTAATTTTTAAATCATGTGCTTAAATATTAAAATGTCAGATATTCAAATTAAACCGAAGAAACTGTACAGATTTTAAAGACCGGAATTGCAAAGGGACCGGGAGAGCAACTAAACCCAAGTTTATTGATAGCTGTATAAGAATTCGTCAGAAATGAAGGCAAGCATAACAGTATCCTTAAGTGCTTGTTTATTAACTAGTAAAGTTGAATTTCACTAGCATACATTAAAACCTGAACCAAACAAGTCGTTGATATAAACTATTCTGCTGAACCACAGAAACAACAGAATTTATATCGCACAGAAGGCTACGAAATTGCTTTCTCGACTTCTATGCAGACGCAGGCAAATGCGTTATTCGCAATGTTCCTTCATCCTTATTGACACGGCGCATGAAGGAAGAGCAGAAAGCTACAGTGTTCACAAGAAATTACAGACATGCATGTGTCACAAACCAGCCAGTACAAATCTCCGTGACACGAGCTCATACAAGTTCCTAATGCTCATTTATGAGAGTTATAAAAGGAAAAAAAAAGGATAAAGAAAACCATCCCGTCTTCGCCTTGTATCTATTCCCTTGCATACAAAAAATGGTACACACCTCAGAAGCATGTATGCTGAATTGACACCATTTCAGTCTGAGATTCTAACTTCAACCCCTAAAACGTCCTTCACCACTTCATATGACACGAATGCAATAGCTATTGACGGCACGACCTGGGGAAAAAAGGAAAAGGAATAAACAATTAAATATTGACCTTTGAAGGACAATATATATTGGTGATAAGACATGCAAATATCCCATTCTAGAATCTGAGGAAAATAAAGGTCATCTGCTATGGTTAATGCAAAAGCTTAATGGGGCAACTTTAAAGGACATTTACAAGATAAAATCTAATGTATCCAGCAGGCGTGCATATTTAATACTAGTAGTCTTGCTTTTAACTACGTGCCAGTCTTGCCTACATCCATGCATAAACTCATCAAAGATACACGAGGAACCTTATTTTTTGTTAGGTGAAGAATACTAAAGATTAAAGATCAAAACAATCCCCATGCAATCTCTTTCAAAGCCATCTCAATCCAAACTACGATTTCTTTCCAGAGCATAAATTGAAAATGTTAGTCCAGCATTTATAAACAAGTAAATGTCGATGAATCAGAAGGCACTAACCTTAACAGAATTAGGGACCAGACCCTTGTATAATGCCCCAAAGCCCTCATGCCTAACTGTTTTCCTGAATGCATCAATCATGCCAGTATACTCAAGGGAGGCCTTGCTCCTCCCCTCACCAGTTACAACAGAGGCTGCATCTTTCCATCCTACCATTTGCATTCTTCTGCGGATCACATCAAGAGGGTAAGAAACAGTTTGGCCAACAGTTCCAGCAGCAGCCCCACAAGCAAGCCTGGTCGTCACACTCAACTCAGAGTCTTCAACCAATCCAAATGGTTTAGTTTTGATTAACCAATCTTTTAGAGATTCATACACAGCAAAGTTCAACCCCACATATGGTATCTGCAAACACAAGAAGAATTCAAATCAACATACAACAAAAAAAGTTAACAATTCTCTTTGTCAAGTTAAATGATTAATTGCCAACAAATAACTCGGTGATCACTTTTGACCATCCAAAATGGGGATATAAACATGACACATAATTTGCAGGAACATGATGGAGACAACTAAAGACAGAGAAGCTTAATGTCGTAAAAGATAAAAATAACTGCAGAAAGCTCCCTAACAAAATTTCCCAGAAAGTGAAAATGGGGAGAAGCTTATTTTTAGATGTGTAGATCTCATAATTATGTGACCGGTGACCCATAGAAAGAAGGAGGCTTCACCCCTCCCCGTTTCTTTCTCTTTAACAACCTTATGTTATTCCAAGAAGGTATGCACTTCTCACACCCATAACATTAAAAAAACAGTTAACAATAGACATTCGGTCGAAGACCCTCTTCTGTGCAGGCATTATTTCCTCTCTTTCTTAACTACATATTTATATATGATTTGGCTACATAATCCCCATCCTGTAAACAGCTCAGTTGTAGCTCCCTTATGCTATAAAGTAAGTATTTTAACACCCTAGGAAAAAAGGCAGGCTTCTATCAATACCAAAAATATTCTGCACACAAATTAACATTTTGGATCCAGGATCTGAACAATCAACATTTTTAGTCTTAATGGTTGCAAAAAGAAATGGCAGTCATCTATTTGACTTGAAAGTAAGAGAGACACAAGCAAGCTACCATTAAAAACATCATATAGAAGAACTAAGTGACTCACAACTCCAATGATTGAAGGAAGCCAACCCTTGTACAATGCTCGTGAGCCTTCTTCCCTCAACACAGTTGACAGAGCATGGAACATTCCCCTATACCGATAAGGAGACCTCTCTGTCTGCAGCAGACACAACTAAAAGATTAAATGCCCATTTAACCATACTACAAGGAACAATTCCTGATATCACAGAATTAAGATGCAGAAGCTTAAAATGAATCAATATTTGTATTGAAGAATTAAAATATTTTTCAATTCTTCTTCTTACACAAAAATCAATTAATAAAATTATTTTAAAGTTTATCATTTATTACAAAGTATTCCCTTCTGAAGCTTCATCTTGATAAAACCAGCAAGTTAAACATCACGCACTGATCAAGTAAATGATATTTAAGGCAATACCTGTACAGTGAGCCTGCCTCGTACCAAGTCCATTGGGTAAGTTGCAGACATGGCAATTATTCCAGCACATGCTCCAGCTCCAAGGCGTAAAAGGGGAGTGAGTTGAGCATCTTCTGCAGAATTAACAGCAATAAAGGGAGAAGGCCTTATATGAGCTTTCAAGATTTAAAGACATCTTGATATAAATTTCATGACAGATATCAAACAAGATAACATCAGTATAGAGCATTCTATGAATGCAGTCCTTCCTAATATTAATGACATATTGATATAAATTTCATGGCAGACGTCAAACATGATAACATAAGTATAGAGCATTCTATGAATGCTTATGCAGTCCTTCCTAATATTAATGTACTTGTTTAGCATGATTTATCAATGTAATATCAACTTCCACAAAATATCCAAAACCTGATGGTTTTATATAACTATTATTAAACCAACTAAATTCTAGATGCGTACAATGTAATGGAAGATGCAAAGATGTGATGATTGCTCAGAAAAAGGATGATCACAATATTAGTCATACTCCTACCATTGCCAGTATGCTGTTGATACAGATATAGGATTCCCCTGTCAAAAACAATTACAAGGAACAATTAGCCTAAAGAAATAGACTCATTTCCTTCAATTCAAACTTGAAAATGTATGGTAAGCTGCGCAAAATAAAGAAAGCTTTACACACCCAAACAACCTTAAGGCGGATAAATTGTAGTAGCATAACCAAATACATTAATGCTTTAGATTGATCAATGATATTGTGGTCTCTGGGAACTAAGTAAACAATAGTGTCAAAGACAATAACCAGTTTCAATATGATAAATAGACTAGAGCTTACTCCTTAGCAATACAAAGAGAGTTGACAAGAAAATCAAATTAGTCAACCAATAGAAAAATAAATAACCAGTTAAACTAAACAGAGTTTAAGAATCTTACATTGAAGCTTGCTCGTAGCTGAAGAACTTGACCGCAGAGTTTGGAACAATGCGTGCACAATTAGCACCGTTGCCTTTGAATAATCCACGAAAACCTTCTGTTCTCCAAATGTACTTCAAGCCTTGAATTGTTCCATTGTATTTTATATTATGTGAATTCTGAACCTGCAATTTGTTTTTTCAAAAGAGGTAAATTAATTCAGAAATTTAGTTCTCTATTTTTCTTAATCTAGATCAGATGCACGGAAAATATATGAACCTGAAGTAAGATTTTCAAACGTTCCAAAGGAGCAACGGCAGTTCGTGACCTGCAACACATAAATGATAAAAGTAAAAGATCCATTTTCAGTTCTTTTACCTATAAAAGTTGAGAAATTAAATGTTTCCGGAAACGATTTCCTCAACACAAACAAAGACTCCATGGAGTGAAAAGGATACAGGGGAAGAGAGAGAACTTACACTGCACCGGCGACGCCGCCAGCAACGAGAGACTTGCAGATGCTAATAATAGCATATCTAGGAGCTTTAACTCCCTCTCTCGCGAGCTTCGCTTCCTCAGCTAGATTCACGATCGTCGATACAGCCGATTCAGGAGTCTTCACATCCTCCGAAGCCATCGAAAACCAAACCCGGCAAAAAATATATAATATATTTAAATTCCTTCTCTCGCCGAAAAAACGTAGGAGGTGTTTGCCGGTAGTTCGGGGGAAGCTCGAACCTTCCGGAAGGATTATCCGGCGACCGGTAGTGCCCGATCTCCGAGGTGATTATTATTGTAGTCAAAAGAGATTCCGCATTTCTCTCTTGCCCTTTTTCTTAGTTTTTGTGTTGGAAATTAGAATGGTTGTTGAAAGAAGCGTAGTGGTGACGACTGGTTTTGGGAGCCTGAGAAAGTGACACCTCGACTATTTAAGGGCGTGTGAGTTGTTGCTTTTACAGCGCGTGGATATGGATAAGTTTTCTCTGTTGAAGGAAAAGTACCTGTTGGTGGTCACGTTTATCTTGGTGTAATATTCTTATATGGTATAAACATTAATGTATATTAAGATTTTTTTAAATTATAAATTAAATAAGTAATTTAATTAGATGATTGTATTTATACCTATTTAATACAAATATTATATTAAAATGAAATATTATAACTGAAACTATTACATGATTTAAACTAAACATCTCTAAATATGATGTTTAGCAATGTATATGAAAGAACAATATGTTAGTTCCTTTAAAACAAATAGGTAACAAAAATTCAAAATTGGCAAGAGAAGCGATAATTGAATTTTGGGTCCTTAATTTTTCTATTTAATTCATCAAACTTTTTATAAAAGTATTGCTAATGTTATATTTTTTTTATCATTAAACATTGAAAAAATAATGATGATACGAACTCATTAAGTGACCTTAGTAGTTAAAGAGCGTGTTATTCTCTTTATAAGGTATTTGGATTCGAGCAACTGTATCTATAAGGTGTGTGTTATTAATGGTTAATAAAGATTATGAACACATATTATCTTATAATCATCTCAGACTATTAAAAAAAACAATGGTTATATTAATATAATTTTTTATTTTATTTTATCTCTATTTATTAATAATATATATTATTATTTTTTTGGACAAATAAAATAAAACCCATGCCACCACCTTATTAAATAAAAAAATCAAAATCTAGGAAGTGAATGACTATTAACAAGTCTCCACCTTAACCACTCGGCTATGCCAAAAGTCTATTAATATTCCACCAAAATTTATATTTAGTCATTAAATTATTAATCAAAATTCATCTTTTTCGCTATTTGTAATTGTATTTGTAATAACATTCTGTGACAGTAACGATAAACAACAGTTGAGGAACATGAACTACTATTACATAGATTGTTCAACTGATGACAAGAAAAGAGAGTTGTTTCTTTAGATGTCTTCAAGCTTTGATTATTGGTTTTAGCTATTACATGAACTGCAATTTGTGAAAGAGTTAATATTCCTAGCTTGAAAACATCCTCAGAAATAACTCTTCTATGAGAATAATAATTCATGCAATTTAATCAAAACTAACAATTTGCGTTAAAAACTTCTTAAAAAACAACTCTTTCTTCTCTCATTAATATGACAACCTCTATGATTGCCATGCCTTGTACATCACCACCAACGTTGAATATATGTTCCTTAACTGGTCTTTACGATTATTGTTACAAAACACGATAAAAAAATACAATAATAACAAATGAAAATGAAATTTAGTATTGCCATGTAAGCTGTTAATAAGGAAGAGAAAATGATGTGAAAAATGAAATTCATTGATTTTTTTAATGTTCGTTGACTAAAATAAGAAAAGACTTCATATTAGTAACACTTTTATTTAAATATAATAATTTAATGATTAAAACAAAATAAACAGTAATAGATTGAAGACTAATGATGCATTTCACCCTTGAACTTCATAAAAACAACACATGTTTTATTTTAATGTCTTATATAAAATATTGAGTAAAGTATACAAGTAGTTTCATGTATGGTATTGTTTTGTTGAGTTCAGTGACTATTGAAAGTTATAAAATTGTTATCAGATTATACGGTGTTGCTTTGTTAAGTCATCCGACTAAAAAAAATACAAAATAGTCACTCGACTATTTATATGTTCTAAATTCGTAATTTTTTTTAAAAATTTTGATGGTCTCTGAGTCATATATTATTTTGCTGACATGGATATGATAAACTATTATCTCATAATTGTTTCAATTTTATAATCATATGATATTTTGAGATCAAATTTTATCATATCCAGTTAGTAAATTAGTGTCACGTTAAGATTATTGTCAAATTTTTAACAAAAAAAACATGAGTATGGAACATATGAATAGTCAATGACCATTTTATAACTTTTAATAGTCAATATTTAATAAAGCAACAGCCTTTAATTAAGAGATCATTTCGTAACTTTCAATAGTTAAGGATTCAATAAAATAATATCCAATATTAGGGACCATTTGTATATTTTAACTAAAACATTTTAAACGTAAAGAAGGGTTGTGTGATCTCTACTCGCGATCGAGACAGATTTCGTAGCGGTTGCTTTGTTTCCTACATTCAGTGTTTGTCAGAATGCGGAAACCTGGAGAATTAATTTGATGACGACATGGCATTGCTCAGTTTACACGTCTTGGGCCATAACTGTGGCCCACCCTATAAAAATATTAATATCTTAAATTATTATTTAATATTTGATTAAACTACCTGATTAATTATTTTTATTTAACTTCTATACAAGTACGAACCGACTTTGGTATTTGAAATTTTGTGTTCGAACACCAGAAATATAATATTTGAACATGTATTATATTTGTACTTACTCTAGATTACTCCAAAAAAATATACAATTTTCTCTCAAATTCAAAATAATAATAATAATTGATTACTTTTATTTTTATTTCGTTAAGATGTGATTATGTTCGATTTTATTAAATTAAGATGTCGTCGTTTATCTTATTGACTTTTAAATGTTTAACCGCTGAAATTTTTACTTCTTTTAAGGAGTAAATTAAATAAAAGTGATCACATATTAATTAAATAAAAACAAAAGTGATACTCCAGTTAATATTTTTATATATGGAATTATAATTGTGCAAGTATTCTTTTTAATAATCAGGGTTGATTATAAGGTAATATTTGTTTAAATTTTTTTCAATCGGTAATAATATATATACATTCTACCGACATAACTTGATGAGATTAACTATATAAATAATTTTAAGTATATTTAAAAAAAGAAAAATAAACAATATATTTATGATCATGTTTTAATATTTATTGATATAAAAATATCATTAACAATAGGAATGGAAATAATATTTTGTGTGTGATAAAGAATATATTTAGTTGCCACTTCGTTATTATTAGTCAATTAAGTTACTTGACACTTCATCTCCATTTTTGTTGACAAAGTTTTGTTTTTTTTCTTCTGCCGAGGTAACATAATTCATTATAGTCCTACTTGTTTTAGTAAGGTTTAATCTTCAATTAAAAGGTTACTTAAAATCACAATAAAATATATAAAGTAAATAATATTCATGATTTAATCTAAAATATTATATTTAAATTAAATTTATCGTAATTTAAAATTTATATAACATTTTAAGTTGTAACAAAAGATATTACTAAAGCATTTAATTTTTTAAGTTAGTTGTGTGTTACCCAAATTATAATAAGTTATGTAAAAGAAATAACATACCCAATTACAATTTTAAATGTTATCCTCAGTATTGAGTTTAAATCAATTTTAAAATTCAAATAATATTTATAATTGTAACTTAAAATATTATCAAAATATGTCATATTTTAAATTAACACTTTTCAAATTTTCAATTAACTAATAATCATTGAAACACATCATTTTTTTAATCGGATATTAATTACCACACAATCATTGAGTAGAAAATTTATTCGTACTCCTTTCGAACTTCGTACAATAATTTATAATAATCTCAATAATGATAATGTTAGTGATGGAATTATTGCTGCAGAATAGACGTCACACGTCAATCCAATCTAATGATAAATCTTTAGCGTGAAGTGTAAGAATATGGTACGGAATACCTCTCCATTCCACTAATTAATCTATTATATTAAGATAAAGGGTAAATATATAAAAGAATATTTTCATACTTAAATGTTATATATAAATAAATAAAATGAGATGTTCACGTCTATTATTAAAACTAAAAATAGTACGTGATTAAACAGTTGGTGACTGAGTCAGAAAAAGGAAAGAGTTTGCATATTTTTCCACGTTCACTCCTTTTCAGTTTTCACAACGGCCAAAACTCTGCTTTATTATCGCATGTCCCAAACGAGAAAGGTAAAATACCCTAATATTGGACCTAGTAAAGTCCTAAAGCTACAAACATAAAAAAAAAAAAAAACTATTACCGTATTACCTTAGCTCTTAGCCATAAGGTAGTGGGAGAAGTAGCCAATTCCACAATGGAGTCAACACTGCCGTTTTGGTTCTTAATAATTAGGGGTGTGCAAAATTATCCGACCCGGTTGACCTGATCCGTCGAACTGGATAAAAAAATGGGTAATTTTCTAAAAAGAATTACCCGGCCGGGTCGAGTACCCGACCCGGCACTTTCCGGGTCGAGTATGAGTCACAAAATTTGATTTTTTTCAGATACCTGATTACCGGAGTACCGGTTAAGTTTTTTTATAAATATATATTAACTATATATTTAATTTATGTTATAATATTCGCTAAAGCAAATTATTTCTTATTGAAATCCTAACAGCTCCAGACATCAAAAGTCAAAACGGCCACGCTCAATCTACACGCCAAGCTCCAGTCTTCATCGCTGCGGTCGCCGGTCGCTCATGTAAGGAGGTAAGCACCCATCGGCCACCACGACCCCAGCCCACAAGCCGCAAGCAGTAAGAAATTTTTAAAATATTTAAGTAAACAAATGTCCAGTTTGCATGTTAGATTCCATTTGTTTATGCACATTTGATCTTATTCAACTTATCTTACTCTCTTTTAGGACCAATATATATTTGGGTTGTTGATTTTTCAAGCGTAAGAACCACCCGCTGTTCTGCCTTGTTGCCCCTCCCTCCTTGCGTTTCCACTGCCCATTAGCCAACTGAGAGGTAACAATCCACTGTATTGAGTCACATTTTGTTAAATTAAAACTAACTTCCTTTAGATGCATTCACTGAGAGGTGTATATCTTCCTCACAATAGTTTAAATGCATTCACTGAGAGGTGTATATGTGTTTAGGTTAAATGTGAGTCATTGATTTACTAAAGGAAGTTAGTTTACTATGATAAACACGTGCTTAATTTCATAGCCAATCAATATATCTAAA